TCCTTAAGCTTTGAAGCGGACTAAAATGTTTGCCATAGATTTGTTAGAATTAGCATTTTGAAATGAAAACATCATGTGCTGCGCTGAGCAGATACTAGATACTATCAATATTATTGTTACAGCACATTCAGAGATTCTCACTGAATTTGATTCCCAAAGTGCTGGATAGTGCTGGATTACTTTAAACAGTAAATTTTTAAAAAAATTATGTCTTTGAACAGGTACATGAAGCAATGAATTTGTAGATGAAACCTTCTAGGGTTGGGAGCAAATCTTGCAGGTGTACACAAAGTGGATTTCTTCCTAGAAAAGTAAGCTGGGGAGATGAATGGCCCCTGGAGCAGGTCTCGAATATGCGGTTAAGCCAACAGACCGCAGCTCATTAAATGCATACCCGACCCTTTCCTGGTCAACCCGACAAGAACAACCTGCAAAAGTGACTGGGGCCCTTCAAGAAGGAGGAATTCCCCTGTTTTAAGGGGTCCCAAACAAAGGCCCTATATTTTCTGACAAAAAAGTTCGTTTATCCACTTTTCCAATGATCACTGAATTCCATATGTTTTCCCAGGAAACTGCTGGCCTTGACTTTCAACCTGATTCTAAGTGATCAGTGGTGTTTGCAAAGTCTGGAGAAGCCAGCTAAAGCTGGCTACAGAGATCTTTCTGTGGGAGCAGGTTATGTGATTACAAAGTGATATAACCGGCAGCAAAAAAGTGTGGCCTAAAGCCAGTGAAAAGTGGGGAACAGGTTAGCACAGACCAGTGGGAGGCAGTCAGAAATTAGGTGGAGAATCCCATTTTCCTCTGGGCTGCTCCGGGGGCAGGAGAGGTAGACCTACAATTTCCAACGTTTATAGCAGGAGAGGCTAACTAAATGTCAATAGGTTTCAGTACCGCCAGCAATATCTGAGGAGGTAACACTAATAGCAACAACTGCTAGGAACTGTGGCCCACACACAGCATGGTATCTCATTTAATCCTTACTAGCCCCTTCAGGAGTTAAATATTTTTCTCAAGGTCACACGGTCAATGGCGAAGCTGGGAATCAGACTCAAATCTGGCAGATGCCACAGTCCATTCTCTTAGCCACTAAACAATGCCGCTGATGTGATGTCTGCTGTTGATTAGAGCCTTAAGGAAGCATAGAAACAGCTGACTTGGCCACAATGACGTGTTTGGCAGGAAAGAAAAAGGGAGGGTGGAAGAGAACGTATGTTTGTATTTTCAGCATATACTACCCAAGGCCATTTAAACTACACGTGAGCAGAGCTGCTGACTCGCTGGATCATCTTTGTGGTCTCCCATAGCAGGTTCTTAAGAGAAGCAAATCGATGGAATAGGATAAGGCCATTACGTAACTTGTCAGAATGCTTACTGAGGACTGTCGTGGCCAGACGAATCCAAGGCAAGAAGAACGTGAAGGCAGGGCACACACAGCAACTCTTTAACTAAAAGCTCTGGATCCACATAAAGTCAAATGGTTGGAAATGTTCACTTTAGTACATTTAACCTGAAGAAAGTTCCCGGGAGTGGGGAAGTCCTCACATTTCCCCTGGGGCCTCTCTGCTCATGCACAAGATTTAGACCCAACTTACAGGGTCACACTGCTTACACCTAACTCAGCTAATAAGATCAGACACTATTAGACATGGGCTGGGCTCAGGAAAGTGACTTGAAGGCCAGGCACAATCACATTCAGGCAACTGAGGACCACATGTTCCATCTATACCTTACAGCGCAGCAGCTGAAATATCTCTTGGGACTCCAGTGACTTGAAGAGCACTGTTCTGACTGCTGCAGGCCTAAGACCACCCTGGATGCCTTTGGGACTCGCCCCATGGTAGGTCCACCTTGCAGATGCCCAAGAGTATAGGATACCTGACCCAAGACAGGCCACACTGAGGTTCTGATCACAAAACTGCAGGGCTGCCTGTACTGTACTGTCCTTATAATAAATGAATCACCGCTCAGGGGCCACGTCCTGTTTCAGGCCATCAGAGAATCCCAGCTGGCTCATACAGGCACATGCCTCTCGCAAACACTGACTCTTAGGCACCCCCGGTTCAGGGCTGTGTCCTGGGACCCCACGCTGGGGAGGAACTGGGGTTGCAGGTGAGGCGGAGTTAATGTCCGGGTGTGTGGAGTCCCAGCCTGCACCAGATTCCCAGCCGTGCCATTTGTTAGCTGGGTAACCTTGGGAGGTGAACTTCTCTGAGCCCCGGCTCCCTCATCTGTAAGATGGAGATAACAACCTCACCTCTAACTCAGGGTTGTTGAGGATTAAATGTTAGCACGCATTAATCAAGGCGCTGGTGGATGCCTGGCACGTGGTAAGCATTCCAAAAATATTAGCCACCAGGACGATGACGACGACGACGATGATGATGATGATGATGATGATGATGATGATGATGATGATGAGATGGGATGATAGCAGTGCTTTTGAAAAGTCAAAGTTAGATGGTGGGAATCTGCACTGTCACACAGGGCTAGAATGGAGACGGTTTCATCATCTATGGAATAGGAGTTAACAGAAGCTAAAAATAATGAAGACGGGCTGTGGTAATGTGCTCAGAGCAAGGAGTGCCCAGCCCAGGGTGTACACTCAGGAAGTGTTATCTATTCCCTTAAGTGGTTCTGATCTTGGATCATGTGATCAGAAACCTTTATGACACAGCCCCACAAGTATTTTAATCACCAAAATAATGAGTAGGGTCAGTCCCTCCTTAGCCAACAAACCACTAAGCCCTCACAGAGGCTTTAAGAGTGAAATCCTAGCATTTGCCAGTTGTGGGACTTGGGCAAGATACTTAAACCCTCTTAGTAACAGATTTATCTGGTAGCTTGTGGCAACAATTACACACAGTAATCTGTATAAAGCATTTTCTATAACTGGGCTCATAGTAAGAACTTACTTAGTATCAACTAATGTTATTACTGTCAGAAGTTCTTCACAGGACTTGTTTCCTAAGGTTAACTGTGTATGGAATTAAACATGAGCAGGTCAAAGTTATCTCATTTTCCACCTGTGTATCTTTGATGCCTAGTCCAGCACGTGGCAGAGTGGAAGCTTATTAAAACGTTGCTGAATAAATGACTAACTGTTAGACAGCCTCAGTGATAATTACTAACTGATCTAAGTCTGCCAGCAGGAATTCTG